CCCCCCCCCCCCCCCGCCTTTTCCTATTATTATTGTGGACTTTTGTAGTTTTTAAGGAAGGTCGTTGGATCCTTAAAACACAAGTTACATTCCTAGGCCAAGGTTGATAATTTTTGGTTTCTATAACAGTATGCCAAACAGTAAACGCATGTCGTCGAATCGGTGTGTGTGTGTGGACAGACAGCTGATCCAAATATGGCAACTGACAATACCGACCAGGGAATACAGTCAAACTTATACGACATTCAATGACAAGTCAAGTGGTCAAATACGACATTCATTGACTAGTAATGAGATCAAATACGACATTCATTGACAAGTAAAGTGGTCAAATACGACATTCATTGACACGTAAACTGGTCAAATACGACATTCATTGACAAGTAACGTGGTCAAATACGACATTCATTGACTAGTAACGAGGTCAATACGACATTCATCGACAAGGAAAGTGGTCAAATACGACATTCACTGACAAGTAACGTGGTCTAATACGACCTTCGTTGACAAGTATAGCGTGCTCCAATCCAAGGAAGGCGACGCCGTGAATGAGAGTCTTTCATTGAACACTTCTCTCACACCTGACTTCGGATCAGTTGTCAAAGTCTCCCGTATTTGAACGGGTCGACAGAAATGTTTCAACTGATCAACACGAGAGGGGGGACGACGACGACACAGAAGTCAATAGTGGTCACCGGAGTGACCCGAGTGTGTCCGTGCGTGGGCGATGTAGGAATGCACTGCGACAATACTGACAACTGATCCTAAATGGTAGTGTCTGTGCTGTCAGCGGAGAAAGTGATCCTCACTGCGACAATTCTGATAGAACATGTCAATGGGTATTAAGTGCATTCTTGTCTTATAGGAGTTATATTAAAGATTATTGTCATTTTGCAAGCCTCTCCATGTAATATTCACATCTCTAGAAATGCAACCAACTCCCCAAATAAGACTAACATACCCAGTAATACAATCAACTCTCTAACTAAGATTCACATCTCCAGTAATGCAATCAACTCTCCAAATAAGACTCAATCAACTCTCTAACTAAGATTCACATCTCCAGTAATGCAATCAACTCTCCAAATAAGACTCAATCAACTCTCTAACTAAGATTCACATCTCCAGTAAAGCAATCAACTCTCCAAATAAGAATCGCACATCCAGTCGGGGGGCCATCGCAGACCCCTCCTCACCAAAATGTGGCGATCCCTGGCTCAACCAGGCGTTACGCCGTTAGTACCAGATCTTACGACATTTTTTTTA